GAGGAGGAGGAGGAGGAGAGGGAGAGAGGAGGAGGAGGAGGAGGAAGGAGGAGGAGGAGGAGAGAGGAGGAGGAGTGTAGGAGGATGAGGAGGAGGGAGGAGGAGAGAGAGGAGGGGAGAGGGAGGAGGAGGAAGGAGGAGGAGGAGGAGGAGGAGGAGAGAAGAGAGGAGGAGGAGAGGAAGGAGGATGAGGAGGAGGAGGAGAAGGAGGAGGAGCAGGAGGAGGAGGAGGAGGAGAAGGAGGAGGAGGGGGAGGGAGGAGGGAGGAGAGGAGGAGGAGGAGGAGGAGGAGGAGGAGGAGGAGAGAGGAGGAGGGAGGAGGATTGAGGAGGAGGAGGAGGGGAGGGAGGAGGGGAGGGGGAGGAGGAGGGAGGTGGAGGAGGAGGGAGAAGGAGGACGAGCAGGAGGAGGAGGAGGAATGATAATAATAGTACTACTATTACTACTACTAATAATACGAATAAGAAGAATACATACTATGATTGAGAATAAGAGTAGGACAACTCAGCATACTAATATTAATACCAATAAGAAGAATAACACTCATACGAATAGTAAGACGATGCATAATAATAGTGTTAATATTAAGAATACGAAGAAGCAGAGGAGGCGGAGGAGGAGGAGGAGGAGGGGTAGGAAGAGGAGGAGGAGGACGATGAGGAGGACGGGGGAGCACGAGGCAGAGCTGGCGGGGGAGGCGTGTGCACCTGCCGAGGTCGGCGGCCGAGGCGGCGGGGGCCGCCAGGGACGACATGGAGAAGGCGAAGGCCATGAGGGAGTTGTGAACTCGGGGGGGGGGAGGGGGCTTGAGCCGACGCGGCCCCGCGTCGATTGGAGGGAGGAGGACTGGAGAGGAGCGAGGAGGGAAGAAGAAGGCGGAATAAGGAGGGCGGAAGGCGTACGGGGGAGGAGGACGCAGGAGGAGGAGGAGGAGGAGGAGGAGGAGGAGGAGGGAGAAGTGAGGAGGGAGAAGTAAGGAGGGAGGAGGGGGAGGGAGGAGGGCCAGAAGGGAGAGAGAAGGGAGGAGGAGGAGGGAGGAGGAGAGAGGGAGGGAGGGGGATGGAGGAGGAGGAGGAGGAGGGAGGAGTCCACCCCCGCCTTCCCATCTCTCTCCCCCCAGCGTTCCACACTCCGCCGCGCCACCCCCCGCCTCCCCGCAGCATGTGGGGGGCCCTCCCCCCGTGCGAGGCCAAGCTCGCGAAGCTCGACCCGGAGGCCTACGCCGACATGCGCAGCGCGGAGCTCCTTCGCCTCCTTCTGCCTTCTTAGAGGGCCACATGCGAACCCTACCCCTACCCCCCACGATTTTTGAGGGGGAGGGTGGGGTAGGGTTCGCATGTGGCCCCCTACTCCTTCCCGCCTCCCGCGCGCTCCTCCCTTCCTCTTCCACCCCTCTTCCTCCCCACGGCACGCGTGCCCGAGCACCGCCGTCCTCCCCCTCAACGCCATCGACGACGGCATCCCCCTCCCGCTCAGCCTCGTCGTCTTCGAGCTCCTCCGAGGGCTCCCGCCCCCTGGCCGCCGTGGCGGCGACGGGGGATCTCGCCGCATCGGCGTTGCTCTTCTTGCTTCCAAGCAGCTCCTCCCCGTCGCACCCCCCAGACGTGTCGGCAGGGCGGGCCGCGGGCCTCTCGCCCGAGCCTTCCTTTTTTGCGCGTGGTCTTCAAGATGCGGTTCTCGCCTCAGCGCCGCGCACGTTCGCCTACAATATTGCAACAGTGCCCGGATTCGGGGCGGGTCGTTTTCAAAGTGCGGCTCTCGCCTCAGCGCCGCGCACGTTCGCTTCGAAAGCGTGCAGCAGCTTCACGGATGGAAGTCGGGTCGTATTCAGCATGTGGCTCTCGCCTTCACGCCGCGCACGTTCGCCGTATCAGTCTTTAGCAGTTTCAGAGATGGAGAACGGTTGCTTTTCAACATGTGGTTCTCGTCTTAGCGCTGCGTGCATTCGCCTCAAAATGTACGACAGCTTCGAGGTTCGTATGGTCCCAGGAATGGTGTTCTGGCGCGACTCAGTCAGGACGCAACCATTACGTTGGTTCGCGATGTTGGATAACCACCAATTGTTGTGTTCTGGCACGATTCAGGATCATCGGGACGCAACAGTCACGTTGATCCGCGGCGTTGAAGTCCCATGAACCCTGCTTTGGCAGGGTTGAAGGTTCTCAGACGGTGGGTTTCGCATGGGCCACTTCCCGCAATGAGAGTATTACTTTCTACGGACCTATGAAAAGGAAGCTTGGAGGGAGGGTTTTTGCAGCATCGTTCATGCGTCTTGGGTTTGCACTAGTCCTCCTCCTCTCCTCCTCTTCCTCCTCCTCCTCCAACTCCTCCCCGCCTCCTCCCTTCTACCCCCCTTCTCATTCCTGCCTCCTGCCTTCTCCCTCCTCCTCCTCCTCCTCCTCCTCCTCCTCCTCCTCCTCCTCCTCCTCCTCCTCTACTCGGACCCCACGTGAGAGGCCTCTAGTCATGGGTAATGATACTGCGGCTCGCGACGAGAGCCACTGGGGGTTCGCAGACCTCGAGTCCATCGAGAGCCTGGGGGTCTCTCGGGGTCAGTGCTGTCTCGTTGACGCTCCCGGCCTCCTCCTGCTCCTCCTCCTCCTCCGCCTCCCCCAGCTCTCCTCCTCATGCCTGCTCTGCTTTCTGCCTCTCCTGCTGCCGCTGGTCCCCCTTCCCTCAGAGCGTGCGTTACCTACCCCGCTTTCGCTTCCAGGCAAAACCAAGTCATACCACGCGCCTCCTCGTCAAGCGGCCTGACCAGTACAGGCCGCAGTTTGGCCTCGCTTGGTATCTCTTGGAAGCGAGGGTGGTCAAAAGCGAGGTAGGTTTGTTTGCCCCCTATTCCCCCCCCTCCTTCCCATGAGATCCACCGTCACCTCAGCTGCCTCGACTGACACGCAGCGCGTAACCGCGCTCCAGACGTCCGTGTCCATACGTTGCGTGCTGGCTCATCGTGTTGGCCCACGTTGTGGCGAACGTATCGCGCGTCAGACGCGCTGAGCTCCGTGTCTCTACGCAAGCTTCATCCGTTGTGGCGTCCTCCGTCCACGCGCTGAGCTCCGTGTCTCTACGCAGCGTGCTTCCGTTGTCTCGTCCTTCTCTGCTTCGTCCTTCCTCCCCTCCCTCGTGTCCTTGTCCTCCTCTTCGGGGTATAGCTTGCCAGCCGGCGGAATCCGGGACCGCCTCCCTCTCGCTCCCCCCCCGTCCCCCACCCCCCCTAAAAAAAAAACGTGCTGCGCCTCGGGGCAGCCGAGGCCGTCGCACAGACCCCCGACGTAATGATTTTTTCATTACGTCGACCCCCGTAGGTCCCGACCCTTTCTCCATGACCGGCTTTGCATCCTGAGTCGTTTTTTGACACTCCCGAGGCCCGGTGAGGGCCCCCCGAGGCCGAAAATTAGGAAAAACCTCCCGTCGTGATTTTTTCATTGCTCGAGGGGGTCTGGGCACACAGCAGCTGCAGCGCCGTGACACGGCCCGACCACCGAGCCCCCGGACCCCAGCGCAGCTGCGGCAGGTGTGCCGGCCGCACCGGCCTGCAGAGGGCCTGCCGGGGCCCGACGCCGGGCGCACCGCGCCTGCAGGGGGGAAAAGACTGCCACGCCCGGAGGCCCCCTCCCCAGAGATTGAAGTCGGGCCTGTCCTTCTCCAGGGGGAATAGATTCAAAAAGAGTCAAAACATAGTCAGGGGGCTATTTTTTTAGCATTTTTTGATCATGCTGGAGTATGTTTTTTTTTCTCATAAAATATATTATTTTTCGTCGAAGATCCCCCTGCAGGAGGGCACGCCCGACTTAACCAGAGATCCGACGTCGTGCCTTCCTCGAGACGGGGGCCCCGGGAGTCTCGGCCCCGGCCCGAGGCCCGGCGCCTCCCCCTCCCGAGCCGCCTTCGGACGGCCCCCGGGGCCCGGCGAGGGCCCCCTCGAGGCAGGGAGCTGGCGACAGACCTCCGTCTCGTGTCCTCCCCGCCGCCCACCGCTGATGGGCCTGTTTTCCACCACCACCACCATCAGTTGGAGGAGGAGGAGGAGGAGGAGGAGGAGGAGGAGGGGAGGAGGAGGGGAGGAGGAGGACCCCATTCCCCTCCAACTTCTGGTGGTGGTGGTGGAAAACAGGCCCATCACACCGCACCACCCCGACCCGACCCGACGGCCCCGATCTGCCCTCCACTTCGGGGGGGTGCGGGGTCGGGGATTCGTCTGGGGACTACCTTTTTTTTGACCATGCTGGAGTATTTGTTGAATATGCTTTTTTTGTTTTTCGTCGGAAATCCCCCTGTATAGGGGGATACGCCCGACTCAATGGCAGGTCGCCACTTCAGTGCGCTGGCTCCCTCGGCCTCCTCCGCCGCCCCCCCCGGCAGCCGCCTCGGCTCGGGGGCCTCGGGTCTGCCGGAGGGCCGGCGCGCGGGCGGTGCCCCAGGGAATGCGCGGGGCCGGGTGGCAGATGGTACCGGCGTTTGCCGGCTGACCCCTGCGGCGCGACTCAAGTCTAGGTCGGGAGACTCTCCATGGGATCCCCAGGGGATCCTAAGGGATCCACCCCCCTCTCCATGGGATCCCCAGGGGATCCTAAGGGATCCACCCCCCTGGGATCCTATCCCCCCATGGGATCCCCCCCCATGAAGAGTCTCCCGATCTAGGTCGGGCACGTCCCTCTGCCCGGGGGCGGCAAAGAGGGGGGTGATTGCTAGGGGGGGGGGTGGATCTCATGACGTGGGCCAGGATATTTCCCCAGATTTCATTTCATTACGTCCCTGGCCCCCCCGCTGGGCCGCGCACATGCCGCCGGTCATGATTTGCACCCCCCCCATTTGGAATTCCCCCCTCTTGGCCGCTCCCGATCCACAGGAGGAATATTCAAACATAGTCGAAAAATAGTCTGGGGACGCTTTTTCATTACCTGTGATCATTCAAGAATGTCTTGTTCGTCAGCGTTTTATTTTCTCACCCCAAATCCGCCTGTAGGAGGACATGCCCGACCTGACCCAAACTCGCAATGGCAGGCGGTGGCGATGCGGATGCCGCTGGCTGGAAGGACCGAGTCAGGTCGAAGGCACTCAAGGAGAAAGAGAAGGAGAGGGCGAAGGCGTCGTCCAAGGAGAAGGGCAAGGGCACCGCGATCTGCATAGACAGCGACGACTGCGAGGTGACTGTCACCAAGTCTGCAGCGACGAAGAAGAACGACAGGAAGAGGAAGAAGAGCAGCAGCTCTAGCAGCAGCAGCACCAGCACCAGCCGCCGGCGCCGCAGAAAAGAGAAGAAGAAGGCCCGTCAGGCCGCCGAGGTCGAGAAGAGAAGAGAGGCGATGATGATGGCCACTCGAGGTATGGTGTCCAAGGGCAGCCACGCCGTCGACTTTGTGACGGGCGGATCCTCCGCGCGGCCACGGGACGACCCCTTCGCGGACGGGGACCCGGGCGGTGCCGAGATCTGCAGGGCTGTGCCTGCTGCCGCCATAGCCCCCCGGACTCCGCCCCTTTCGGGGCCGTGCACCGTGCTGGAACACTCCGGGCTCGCTCTCTCGAGGCCCCGTTGGGCCATCCCGAGGCCGATCAGGGGGGGGCACCACTGGGGCTTCAGAGAAGAGCCGTCCTCCCAGACCCCCCCGCGTTGTGACAAACATCGCGACGGGAGGATTTTCGCTGTCCTCGGCCTCCGGGGGCCCTCGCCGGGCCCGCGGACCGTCAACAACACGGCCCTGGACGAAGAACAGGTCCCAGGGGAGGGGTCCAGACCTCTGGGGGTCGACGCTGTGAAAGACTCACAGCGTCGGGGGTCTGGGTTGGGGGAACCACCGGGAGCCTTCTTTCAGGAGGGGAAGAAACACACAGACACAATTAATTGTCGATTCCCAGGAAAATATGGGAAAATATGGGAAGTGGGGGGGAAGACAAAAACCCAGAAAATATAGGAAAATATGGGGAATCTTTTTATTTGTGTGTATTTATTTGTGTGTCCCAGTTTCCCTTCATTCTTGGGGCCCGGCGGGGGCCGGCGGGTCTGCTACGAGTATCAGAGGGGCCAGTGCTTCCGCGAGAACTGCCGCTTCTCCCACAGGTGAGCCGGTTCTCGGGGGGGCCCGCCGCCGCCTGGCCGGGCCGTGCTGGCCGCGGCGGGGCCCCGCGGGCCTCGCGGCCCACGGCGTCCACGGGGCCGCGTCGGCTCGCGGGAAGGGTGAGGCTTCGAGCCGATGGTTCGCCTTCTGGCTGTTCTCCCCGTGCTCCTCCGCGTCCACCCTCGCCAGGGTCCACGTCGATGCGATCGGTCCGAGGAGTTCGACGTCGATGCTGGCCGGCCTGGTCCGATGCCTTGTTATGCTGTTCCGACGATCCGACGTGGCCCGATGCTCTTGCATGGCGCTGTCGTGAGCCCTGGCGCGGCCGATCCGATTCGATTTCGAGTCCGCGGCGATGCGGCCCGATTCGACGCACACGTCGATTCGATCCGATTTCCCGACTCCATGCTGACTGATCCACCTTCACCTCGGCGGTGAGCGAAGGAGGGAAGTGCGACAAGGAAGGCCTTCCCAGAAGGCGGCGGGACTTCTCGGATGCCCTCGCGCCTTCTGAGAAGTTGTTCGTGTCTTCGGAGACGGCTTAGACCATTTCTCAGAAGGCCGGGGGACTTCCGAGCCTTCTGAGAAGGCCCCATCCTCCTCACTTCCCCCCCTCGCTCGCTGCCGATCACCCTACTGCTACTGCTGATGCTGCTCTACAGTGTGACTCCAGATGAATACTGCCCCCCCCTCTCTTCACCGAAGACGTCGAGTGGGCATTGCGCCCTCTTGGCGCAGTGGTTTTTGAAGCACCGTATGTCAAGGCTTGATTTTTGGTGGGTGCTCTCATGATCTCACTAATATGAAGACTATCCTTACGAGAAGATTGCTAGCACGAGTGCGATTCTTTTAATTGTTCATATTGCGAAGCTCTTTATGATTCACTCGTGCTTGTCATAATACTCGTGCCCTGAATGTTGTCAGCGATATGACTATGTTTCCTGTTGTTTTTTTACTGTTACTTGTACGCATGTGGTTGTTATTCCAATATTGCTACACATACCAGCGCTACAGCTTACGATTATTATCAATTTTCAAAGTATTGCGCATAGTATCACTCGCATTCTAAGCTGTATCACTCGTGTTCTCATTATTGCTCACATTACTAATGCTACCATTGGTGGCATTCGCATTCGTACGATTCATTTGATTACGGCTGTTAGCATCCTTTCAGTATTAGCACCACAACTGTTATGGTTTCCAGGTGGTTGTTGTTAGCCCTTTGGGCATCTCTATGGACAGAGCAGTACTCGTCGTTCATAGCCTTGCTCACCTGTGAAAATTCAATCTTGACGCCATCCTGATGAATCAGAAGGTTTTCGGAAGCTCCGTGCCTCTTGGGGCCGCCTTTGGGGCCTCTTGGGGCCATCTTGGCGACTTTGAGAGGCCTGTTGCGGTCATCTTGGAGGCCATCGTTCAAAAGAGCAAAGGGGGGGGACCTTCATTTGGACACCGGTGTCGGGTACTTGAAATGTAGCTATCGGGATCTCGGAGCGCTCTTGGTCCGTCTTTGATGTGTCTGGGCCATCTTAGACCTAGCTTGAGGACTCAGGTGGGAGGTGGAGGAAGAGGGAGGAGGAGTAGAAGAACCAGGAGGAAGGTACAGAACCTCCCCTCCTTAGCCTCCCTCGATGAGGGGTGAGGAAGCATCACGTCGGACATTCGCATGTGTATCCAGCAAGAGGGCCTGGCGCCTGGAGGATTTATCACGTAAGCCCAATTTTGAGAAGTCGTGGTGACTTGAGTTCGCCCTGTGGCGGTCCTTCGAAAGAAACCAGTTAAATCATCTGAGGCGTTCTCGTCGCCGCTGCTGGATCCAGTTCGAAACATTGACAATTTGTGGCCACTGCAAAGAGCAAAATTTCCCAACATGAGATCACAATCGATGATCAGCTGGTCTCGGAAGTTGTTTTCGGGGCTTTTGAACACAACACCTCTTGCCACGTTCAATCTCCCATGTCTGTCTTCATTCATGGGAATTGTTGTTCAAGCGATGAGTTTGAGCACGCGCACTCGTTCTTTTACATGTTTTATGGGTCTTCGAATGCTGATGCAGGTTTTGAGCGCATTTTCGACGAGTTGGACCTGGCCGAATTGATTCATCCGTTGCAGAGTTCAGGCGTTTATTGTTGTGGAGATCTGCAGTCTTTGAATGACGATGAACTGATGTCGGTTGGTATTCTTCTGGCAAGGGGGCGCATGCCGTTGAAGGTGTGGAGCACAGCGCAGGAAGACATTTCCTCCGATGAGGAACAAGTGGAGATCTCTCCCAAAGTGGTCAAACTTGTTTCCGACACCGCCATCGCCACCTTGCAAAGTGGCCAAGCCCCCTTCGACTCCGCCACCGCCGCGCAAAACATGATGGAGACATATGTCATGGAATATGGGTTACAGAGAGTTGCGTGGACAGACGCGCAAAACAGATCCGCCCTCGAGAATAGGGACATTTCAAACATACTTAGAGATTTTGGTTTCGACCCGTACCAGGCGCGAGGGATCAGTATTAGATCTGCGAATCAGACGGATTTGATTAGCAACGAATTCTTTGGGAACGCCTCAGCGACATCGTCGTCCTCGCATTCGCCATACTGGCTGTCGAAAGAACATATGAGGCCGAGCTCGCCTTTCCGACCAGACCGACTTAAGCATCGGATGGGCATCTAACGTTTTGATCGAGAGGATCATCTGAAGTTGGGCGCGCCGTTGCCTGCAGACAGGATGAAGCATTTGGTGAAGTGTTTCGGACATGCGGCAGGGTTGCTGTGGCCAGTTTTTCGGCTCCACCGAACCCCTCGCGTTGTCTTGTTTTCTTCGCTGTCTGCTCAGGGAGAGGAGAACATAGCAATATAATATCATATGCTACATGAGAGGAGAAAAACAGGTGTAGGCGAACATAGAAAAGTGGAGGCAAGGGGTGTAGAGCAGGCGGAAGAGGAAGGAAGGGGGTAGGACAATGCTGTTGCGTTGCTGGGGGCAACCATGGCTGGGCTGGTGCCAGGTCGTTAATTTTTTTCGCGTCGAAGTATGCTGCTCCCAGCAGGTGTGGCTTGGGCCAGCCGCTTCCAATTTCTTTCGACCATGCGATGTTCGCTTGAGGCTCTGCTCTCGCCAAGTCTGGTTTGGGCCAGCCGCTCGCGAACATTCTCGCCAATATGGTGTTCAAGTGAGGAGACTCGCCATAGTTTGGCGGACCGCCGAAAAGTCGGAGCGGGAAGATCGCGTCCTCCATGTGCAATAAATGGTTGTTGTCGGTCGGCGAATATGCGCGCTGTCGGCGCCTCCCCGGGGTGGCTGCAAGGCGTCCCCAGATCTCAGCGCTGGATGCGCGTTGCTAAGAAAGTGGCTATCCACCATCGCGCGTTTTGCGCGGCTATCGCGCGTGTTGCAAAACGCAAGTGGTGCGCCGCCGAGGCAGTTGGCCATTTCGCCGTGTCCGCGGTACCCACTATGGCACCATATCCAGCAGGAATTGCAGCATTTGTAGTTGCAGAACGACGAGGAGGAGGAAACCACTGCTGAAGGAGTCTTCTTGCAGCTCGCCGCGGGGAATTATTAGGTGATCCGTTTCCAATAGCTCCTTCTGGAACCATGCGCAATTATGATCATATTGTATGCCGTCGCAAATAGGATGTTTGCGCATGCCGCCTCCGAATGTTTTATGCGTTCGCCGCGAAATGATCTTTTTGACGCCCGCATGGGGGAAACCTTTTGCAAACTGCCGCGAAAGAGTGTGTTTTGCAGTCTGCCGCGCGAAATCATTTGGTAATCCGCCACAACTGTAATCCTGATTCGCTTCGCCACGCGAGGAATCCTGGTGTAATGCGCAGCAACAAGGGGCCCTCCTTGTAGCTCGCAAAAAAAAAGATGTATTTGTATTCCACGACGAAAGGAATCCTTTTGTGATTCGCCACAGAAGGAATCCCGGTGTATACCGCTACAAAAAAAAACATTTACAACAGCAGCAATTGCAACTTTGTTGTTTTCCGCCACAGAAGGGATCCCGCTGTATTTCGCCATGGAAGGAATAAATCGGCATTTTTTCGCGAAGGAAGTCTTTTTGTACCCCGACACAGAAGGAATCTGTTTGTGATTCGCAACGTAAGGGACCAATTCGCAACCAACACACATTTTTTAATTGTAGTGGCCTCAGGCCCGTGGCGCCGATCTGCGGCAATCCCGGTGGCTCTCGGGTTCTTGGGAGCCTACGGGGCCGTCTCGGGGCCTTCTCGGGCCGTCGTAGGAGGAGGTATTTTGGGGTTTGGGCCTCCCGGGGACTTTGGGGAAGTTTTTTTTGGGCTGTCTTAGTGCGGTCCTGGCCCGTCGGACGCCGTCGGACGCCGTCTTGGGCGCCTCGCTGTGCCGTTTGGGGGCGCTTTGATAGCGCTTGAGGACCGTTCTGGGGGTTATCTTGGCCATGATGGGGGCGTACGGGGCCGTCTCGGGACTTTTTCGGCCGTCTTAGGATCTTTTTGGGCCGTCATGGGGCCGTCTTGGGGGCCTCTGGGGCGATCTTGGGGGCCTCTGGGGCCGTCAGAAGGCCAAACAACAATGAAACGCCCCAAGCTTCAAACATCGTGTCGCAAATTAATGGTTTGGGCCTCTTCGAGCTTTGTTTGGAGGTCATCCTGGGCCATCGTGGGTGCATGTTGAGCCGTCTGGGAAATATCTGGCAGCCATCTTGGGCTCTTGGGCCCCCGGGGTGGGAATTTGGCGCCCCAACCCCGGCCAGAAAAAAAACGGAGCACAGTCGGAACATGAATTCCCCCTCCCCCGCTTCCCCGGCAGAACCCCACCAACCCCACCCCAAGGATTTTTGAAACTCACACGCCAGATCGGTGGATTTCGCAATTTCTTCGGAGGGGAATGCGCGTCGTATTTCGCAACAGAAGGAAACCTTTTGTAATACGCCGCACAAGGAATCCTGCTGTGATTCCGCCGCGAAAGGAATCCTTGTGCATTCTGCCACACAAGGAATTATATATTCATATACATATATATATATATAT